TCTCTCATGTTGACACCCCTCTCTCTCATGTTGACCCCCTCTCTCTCATGTTGACTCCCCCTCTCTCTCATGTTGACCCCCCTCTCTCTCACGTTGACCCCCCCCTCTCTCTCATGTTGACCCCCCCTCTCTCTCATGTTGACCCCCCCTCTCTCATGTTGACCCCCCTCTCTCTCATGTTGACCCCCCTCTCTCTCATGTTGACACCCCTCTCTCTCATGTTGACCCCCCTCTCTCTCATGTTGACCCCCCTCTCTTTCATGTTGACCCCCTCTCTATGTTGACCACCCCTCTCTCTCATGTTGACCACCCCTCTCTCTCATGTTGACCCCCCTCTCTCTCATGTTGACCCCCCTCTCTCTCATGTTGACCCCCTCTCTCTCATGTTGACCCCCCCTCTCTCATGTTGACCCCCCTCTCTCTCATGTTGACCACCCCTCTCTCTCATGTTGACCCCCCTCTCTCTCATGTTGACCCCCTCTCTCTCATGTTGACCACCTCTCTCTCATGTTGACCCCCCTCTTTCTCATGTTGACCCCCTCTCTCTCATGTAGAACCCCCTCTCTCTCATGTTGACCCCCCACTCTCTCATGTTGACCCCCTCTCTCTCATGTAGAACCCCCTCTCTCTCATGTTGACCCCCCTCTCTCTCATGTTGACCCCCTTCTCTCTCATGTTGACCCCCATCTCTCTCATGTTGACCCCCCTCTCTCATGTTGACCCCCCTCTCTCATGTTGACCCCCTTCTCTCTCATGTTGACCCCCTCTCTCTCATGTTGACCCCCTCTCTCTCATGTTGACCCCCTCTCTCTCATGTTGACCCCCTCTCTCTCATACTGACCCCCCTCTCTCTCATGTTGACCCCCTCTCTCATGTTGACCCCTCTCTCATGTTGACCCCCCTCTCTCTCATGTTGACCCCTTCTCTCTCATGTTGACCCCCTTCTCTCTCATGTTGACCCCCTCTCTCTCATGTTGACCCCCCCCTCTCTCATGTTGACCCCCCTCTCTCTCATGTTGACCCCCCTCTCTCACATGTTGACCCCCTCTCTCTCATGTTGACTCCCCCTCTCTCTCATGTTGACCCCCTCTCTCTCATGTTGACCCCCCTCTCTCATGTTGACCCCCTCTCTCTCATGTTGACCCACCTCTCTCTCATGTTGACCCCCTCTCTCTCATGTTGACACCCCTCTCTCTCATGTTGACATGTTGACCCTCTCTCTCATGTTGACCCCCTCTCTATGTTGACCCCCCTCTCTCATGTTGACACCCCTCTCTCTCATGTTGACACCCCTCTCTCTCATGTTGACCCCCCCTCTCTCTCATGTTGACCCCCCTCTCTCATGTTGACCCCCCTCTCTCTCATGTTGACCCCCCTCTCTCTCATGTTGACCCCCTCTCTTTCTCATGTTGACCCCCCTCTCTCTCATGTTGACCCCCTCTCTCTCATGTTGACCCCCCTCTCTCTCTCATGTTGACACCCCTCTCTCTCATGTTGACCCCCTCTCTCTCATGTTGACTCCCCCTCTCTCTCATGTTGATCCCCCTCTCTCTCACGTTGACCCCCCCCCCCTCTCTCATGTTGACACCCCTCTCTCTCATGTTGACCCCCCCTCTCTCATGTTGACCCCCCTCTCTCTCATGTTGACCCCCCTCTCTCATGCTGACCCCCTCTCTCTCATGTTGACCCCCCTCTCTCTCTCATGTTGACCCCCCTCTCTCATGTTGACCCCCCCTCTCTCATGTTGACCCCCCTCTCTCTCATGTTGACCCCCTCTTCTCATGTTGACCCCCCTCTCTCTCTCCTGTTGACCCTCTCTCTCATGTTGACCCCCCTCTCTCTCATGTTGACCCCCTCTCTCATGTTGACCCCCTCTCTATGTTGACCCCCCCTCTCTCATGTTGACACCCCTCTCTCTCATGTTGACACCCCTCTCTCTCATGTTGACCCCCCCTCTCTCTCATGTTGACCCCCCTCTCTCATGTTGACCCCCCTCTCTCTCATGTTGACCCCCCTCTCTCTCATGTTGACCCCCCTCTTTCTCATGTTGACCCCCCTCTCTCTCATGTTGACCCCCTCTCTCTCATGTTGACCCCCCTCTCTCTCTCATGTTGACACCCCTCTCTCTCATGTTGACCCCCTCTCTCTCATGTTGACTCCCCCTCTCTCTCATGTTGATCCCCCTCTCTCTCACGTTGACCCCCCCCCCCTCTCTCTCATGTTGACACCCCTCTCTCTCATGTTGACCCCCCCTCTCTCATGTTGACCCCCCTCTCTCTCATGTTGACCCCCCTCTCTCATGTTGACCCCCTCTCTCTCATGTTGACCCCCCTCTCTCTCTCATGTTGACCCCCTCTCTCATGTTGACCCCCCTCTCTCATGTTGACCCCCCTCTCTCTCATGTTGACCCCCTCTCTCATGTTGACCCCCCTCTCTCTCTCCTGTTGACCCTCTCTCTCATGTTGACCCCCTCTCTCTCATGTTGACCCCCTCTCTCATGTTGACCTCTCTCTCTCTCATGTTGACCCCCCTCTCTTTCATGTTGACCCCCCTCTCTCATGTTGACCCCCTCTCTCATGTTGACCCCCCTCTCTCATGTTGACCCCCCTCTCTCTCTCATGTTGACCCCCTCTCTCATGTTGACCCCCCTCTCTCTCTCCTGTTGACCCCCCTCTCTCATGTTGACCCCTCTCTCTCTCTCATGTTGACCCCCCTCTCTTTCATGTTGACCCCCCTCTCTCATGTTGACCCCCCTCTCTCATGTTGACCCCCTCTCTCTCATGTTGACCCCTCTCTCTCTCTCATGTTGACCCCCCTCTCTTTCATGTTGACCCCCCTCTCTCATGTTGACCCCCCTCTCTCATGTTGACCCCCTCTCTCTCATGGTGACCCCCCTCTCTCTCTCTCATGTTGACCCCCCTCTCTCATGTTGACCCCCTCTCTCTCATGTTGACCCCCCTCTCTCTCTCATGTTGACCCCCCTCTCTCATGTTGACCCCCCTCTCTCATGTTGACCCCCCTCTCTCATGTTGACCCTCTCTCTCTCATGTTGACCCACCCTCTCTCTCATGTTGACCCCCCTCTCTCATGTTGTCCCCCCTCTCTCATGTTGACCCCCCTCTCTCTCATGTTGACCCCCTCTCTCTCATGTTGACCCCCCTCTCTCTCATGTTGACCCCCCTCTCTCATGTTGACCCCCCTTTCTCTCATGTTGACCCCCCTCTCTCTCATGTTGACCCCCCTCTCTCTCTCATGTTGACCCCCCTCTCTCTCATGTTGACCCCTCTCTCTCATGTTGACCCCGTCTCTCATGTTGACCCCCCTCTCTCTCATGTTGACCCCCTCTCTCTCATGTTGACCCCCCTCTCTCTCATGTTGACCCCCTCTCTCATGTTGACCCCCCTCTCTCATGTTGACTCCCTCTCTCTCATGTTGACCCCCCTCTCTCTCTCATGTTGATCCCCCTCTCTCTCATGTTGACACCCCTCTCTCTCATGTTGACCCCCCTCTCTCATGTTGACCCCCCCTTTCTCTCATGTTGACCCCCCTCTCTCATGTTGACCCCCCTCTCTCTCATGTTGACCCACCATCTCTCTCATGTTGACCCACCCTCTCTCTCATGTTGACCCCCCTCTCTCATGTTGACCCCCCTCTCTCATGTTGACCCCCCTGTCTCATGTTGACCCCCCTCTCTCTCATGTTGACCCCCCCTCTCTCTCTCATGTTGACCCCCTCTCTCTCATGTTGACCCCTCCTCTCTTTCATGTTGACCCCCCTCTCTCATGTTGACCCCCCTCTCTATGTTGACCCCTCCTCTCTCTCATGTTGACCCCCCTCTCTCATGTTGACCCCCCTCTCTCTCATGTTGACCCCCCTCTCTCTCCTGTTGACCCCCTCTCTCTCATTTTGACCCCCCTGTCTCATGTTGACCCCCCTCTCTCATGTTGACCCCCTCTCTCATGTTGACCCCCCTCTCTCATGTTGACCCCCCTGTCTCATGTTGACCCCCCTCTCTCATGTTGACCCCTCTCTCATGTTGACCCCCCTCTCTCTCCTGTTGACCCCCTCCCTCTCTCTGAAGCCTTAAAAGAGCTTAATGCTCTACCTGCGTCACCCTCTGCTCTATCGAGCAGAGGTAGAGGCGAGTGCATGAATTGGATTTTTTTTTTTTTTTAGGAAGCGGGCTGTCTATGCATCCGCCAAACCCCCTTTTTATGAGTAAATACAACTTTTCACAAGACTCAAAACTGATGACGTTTGAACTATTCTCGAACAGTGCTTCGCTGACGACTTTAGGTCGAACCACAACGCTGTAAATGCTTCACCCACAAAACATACTACAAATACAAATAATTGCCAATAGAACTTAAACACCTGACCTAACCAATATATATATATATATATATATATATATATATATATATATATATATATATATATATATATATATATATATATATATATATATATATATATATATAATGTCGTACCTAGTAGCCAGAACGCACTTCTCAGCCTACTATGCAAGGCCCGATTTGCCTAATAAGCCAAGTTTTCATGAATTAATGTTTTTCCGACTACCTAACCTAACCTAACTTTTTCGGCTACCTAACCTAACCTAACCTATAAAGATAGGTTAGGTTAGGTAGGGTTGGTTAGGTTCGGTCATATATCTACGTTAATTTTAACTCCAATAAAAAAAAAAAATGACGTCATGCATAATGAAATGGGTAGCTTTATTATTTCATAAGAAAAAAAATCAGGGAAAATATATTAATTCAGGAAAACTTGGCTTATTAGGCAAATCGGGCCTTGCATAGTAGGCTGAGAAGTGCGTTCTGGCTACTAGGTACGATATATATATATATATATATATATATATATATATATATATATATATATATATATATATATATATATAATATATGCACAGTTTGCCAATATATAACAATATTAATTTTGGGAAACTTCTTATTTTGTATGAACATGTTCAAGTATGAATGCGTCTTTGGGGTCGACCACTGGATGGAATGAACTTGATCCGAGGACGGTTTGCCAAAGCCTTCTTGAATTACGTAAGTAAGTAAAGTAAAGAGGAAATCTAACGTATTTGCTTACTATAATGTTGGTTATTGAACATGAAAAACAATATTTACTATTTAAAGACGCTCATTTTATAAGGAAATAAGAGGTTGGTGTTGAGGGATGAGGATGACAACGCTGCTCTAGGAGAGGGGGATGACAACGCTGCTCTAGGAGAGGGGGATGACAACGCTGCTCTAGGAGATGAGGATGACAACGCTGCTCTAGGAGAGGGGGATGACAACGCTGCTCTAGGAGATGAGGATGACAACGCTGCTCTAGGAGAGGGGGATGACAACACTGCTCTAGGAGAGGGAGATGACAACGCTGCTCTAGGAGCGGGGGATGACAACACTGCTCTAGGAGAGGGGGATGACAACACTGCTCTAGGAGAGGGGGATGACAACGCTGCTCTAGGAGATGAGGATGACAACACTGCTCTAGGAGAGGGGGATGACAACACTGCTCTAGGAGAGGGAGATGACAACGCTGCTCTAGGAGAGGGGAATGACAACACTGCTCTAGGAGAGGGGGATGACAACGCTGCTCTAGGAGATGAGGATGACAACACTGCTCTAGGAGAGGGGGATGACAACACTGCTCTAGGAGAGGGAGATGACAACGCTGCTCTAGGAGAGGGGGATGACAACACTGCTCTAGGAGAGGGGGATGACAACACTGCTCTAGGAGAGGGGGATGACAACACTGCTCTAGGAGAGGGGGATGACAACACTGCTCTAGGAGAGGGGGATGACAACACTGCTCTAGGAGAGGGGGATGACAACACTGCTCTAGGAGAGGGGGATGACAACGCTGCTCTAGGAGAGGGGGATGACAACACTGCTCTAGGAGAGGGGGATGACAACACTGCTCTAGGAGAGGGGGATGACAACGCTGCTCTAGGAGAGGGGGATGACAACGCTGCTCTAGGAGAGGGGGATGACAACGCTGCTCTAGGAGATGAGGATGACAACACTGCTCTAGGAGAGGGGGATGACAACGCTGCTCTAGGAGAGGGGGATGACAACACTGCTCTAGGAGAGGGGGATGACAACACTGCTCTAGGAGAGGGGGATGACAACACTGCTCTAGGAGAGGGGGATGACAACACTGCTCTAGGAGAGGGGGATGACAACACTGCTCTAGGAGAGGGGGATGACAACACTGCTCTAGGAGAGGGGGATGACAACGCTGCTCTAGGAGATGAGGATGACAACACTGCTCTAGGAGAGGGGGATGACAACACTGCTCTAGGAGAGGGGGATGACAACGCTGCTCTAGGAGAGGGGGATGACAACGCTGCTCTAGGAGAGGGGGATGACAACGCTGCTCTAGGAGAGGGGGATGACAACGCTGCTCTAGGAGAGGGGGATGACAACACTGCTCTAGGAGAGGGGGATGACAACACTGCTCTAGGAGTGGGGGATGACAACACTGCTCTAGGAGAGGGGGATGACAATGCTCTAGGAGAGGGGGATGACAACACTGCTCTAGGAGAGGGGTATGACAACACTGCTCTAGGAGAGGGGGATGACAACGCTGCTCTAGGAGAGGGGGATGACAACACTGCTCTAGGAGAGGGGGATGACAACACTGCTCTAGGAGAGGGGGATGACAACACTGCTCTAGGAGAGGGGGATGACAACACTGCTCTAGGAGAGGGGGATGACAACGCTGCTCTAGGAGATGAGGATGACAACACTGCTCTAGGAGAGGGGGATGACAACACTGCTCTAGGAGAGGGGGATGACAACGCTGCTCTAGGAGAGGGGGATGACAACGCTGCTCTAGGAGAGGGGGATGATAACGCTGCTCTAGGAGAGGGGGATGACAACGCTGCTCTAGGAGAGGGGGATGACAACGCTGCTCTAGGAGAGGGGGATGACAACGCTGCTCTAGGAGAGGGGGATGACAACGCTGCTCTAGGAGAGGGGGATGACAACGCTGCTCTAGGAGAGGGGGATGACAACGCTGCTCTAGGAGAGGGGGATGACAACGCTGCTCTAGGAGAGGGGGATGACAACGCTGCTCTAGGAGAGGGGGATGACAACGCTGCTCTAGGAGAGGGGGATGACAACGCTGCTCTAGGAGAGGGGGATGACAACGCTGCTCTAGGAGAGGGGGATGACAACGCTGCTCTAGGAGAGGGGGATGACAACGCTGCTCTAGGAGAGGGGGATGACAACGCTGCTCTAGGAGAGGGGGATGACAACGCTGCTCTAGGAGAGGGGGATGACAACGCTGCTCTAGGAGAGGGGGATGACAACGCTGCTCTAGGAGAGGGGGATGACAACGCTGCTCTAGGAGAGGGGGATGACAACGCTGCTCTAGGAGAGGGGGATGACAACGCTGCTCTAGGAGAGGGGGATGACAACGCTGCTCTAGGAGAGGGGGATGACAACGCTGCTCTAGGAGAGGGGGATGACAACGCTGCTCTAGGAGAGGGGGATGACAACGCTGCTCTAGGAGAGGGGGATGACAACGCTGCTCTAGGAGAGGGGGATGACAACGCTGCTCTAGGAGAGGGGGATGACAACGCTGCTCTAGGAGAGGGGGATGATAACGCTGCTCTAGGAGAGGGGGATGACAACGCTGCTGTAGGAGAGGGGGATGACAACGCTGCTCTAGGAGAGGGGGATGACAACGCTGCTGTAGGAGAGGGGGATGACAACGCTGCTCTAGGAGAGGGGGATGACAACGCTGCTCTAGGAGATGAGGATGACAACGCTGCTCTAGGAGAGGGGGATGACAACGCTGCTCTAGGAGAGGGGGATGACAACGCTGCTCTAGGAGATGAGGATGACAACGCTGCTCTAGGAGAGGGGGATGACAACGCTGCTCTAGGAGAGGGGGATGACAACGCTGCTCTAGGAGATGAGCCAACTTTACATACTCGTTACCCAGCAATATTTCCGGTCTTGTATTTCCGAGTAAAATTAAGGCTTTTCACATTCTATTTTCAGCACCAACACTACAGTAAGAAAATGTTAGATTTCTTGTTTGTTTTCTTAATTTAATGAAGGAGGCTTCGGGTAATTGTATAGACCGTTGAAGGGTTTGGTATACTGCTGACTTGTGTGGATTTTAACACATCAGTATTTGACAAGAATGTGAACCTGACGGCCCTTTGTTTTGATCAATGGACTGTCATAAACACATTCAAGAACACTAAATGTTCTGTGACAGTTAGTTGTTAATAGCTCACCCAACGAGCCAAGGCAACAGGCAACTGTGACGAGGTTTCGAATTGGTCTCAGTTGTCTCGATGTTTCGAACCGAAGCTCGTCTATCCGTTCTAACCTCTCAGTTGCCGGGCAGACGTCGTAGTGGCGGTAGACACTGTTCGTGTTCTGGAAAATTTTAACAAAAACACTTCGTGTTATTTCTGCAACATGAGACGAAACTGCTGTACAGTTGCACAACGTCTAGCAGGAGTGGGATTTATTCTGTGCTGATATTGGCTGATAGAAAATTATAAGTGTGAGGATTCTGAGCAGCAGCAGGAGCCGTGTTGACGTCTGGCCCGAGGGGGGAGGTGATGACCACCTTCACCCTCCTCTTCGGCGCCGCCTGCAGGACCTTCAGCAGGGTATGTAATCTTTAGGCTTGGTGTTGCCTTAACGACTATATTAACCTTTGGGGGTGATTAAATCCACCACAATAGTTTATTGAACAACCAGCAGGTACATACAAGTACTAAACTATATATATACCAGGTAGGTGGTATGATGGACCTGCGAACCAACATAATTTCTTCTCTCTTGCTTTATTTCGGACTTGTTTGGGGAAGTCAATTTTTTAATTCATTCGGGAGTAAGTTCCATCGACTGTGTCCTTTTATATGCATGGAGTGTTTGCCCAGATTCAGATTGACTCTGGAGATGTGAAGAGAGATTTATGTTGTGGTGTTAATGGGTTCTATTACACCGACACACCAAGACAACACTAAAGAGCAGCTCGTGCTTAATGACTCTGACGCCACACAGATCCTCTTAATTAATGGAGGTTCTAATGTTTTATTGCGCCACTTTTACCTACGAAATGATCAGAGCTGCACGAGTCCCTTAGTGCCTTCAGTTACTGTAACTTGGGTGGCTGCACGAGTCCCTTAGTGCCTTCAGTTACTGTAACTTGGGTGGCTGCACGAGTCCCTTAGTGCCTTCAGTTACTGTAACTTGGGTGGCTGCACGAGTCCCTTAGTGCCTTCAGTTACTGTAACTTGGGTGGCTGCACGAGTCCCTTAGTGCCTTCAGTTACTGTAACTTGGGTGGCTGCACGAGTCCCTTAGTGCCTTCAGTTACTGTAACTTGGGTGGCTGCACGAGTCCGTTAGTGCCTTCAGTTACTGTAACTTGGGTGGCTGCACGAGTCCCTTAGTGCCTTCAGTTACTGTAACTTGGGTGGCTGCACGTGAGAGGCTCCGAGAGGAAATGCAGCTGTCATGGCACCAACAGTTGGATGGTTCAGTGCAGCAATGGTACTGCTGCACTGTACCATCCTATTTCTCTGGGCGCTGTGGGGGGGGAAAAATGTGGGCGCTGTGGGGGAGGAATGTCAGTGCTCTGGGGGAGGAATGTGAGTGCTGTGGGGGAGGAATGTGAGTGCTGTGGGGGAGGAATGTGAGTGCTGTGGGGGAGGAATGTGAGCGCTGTGGGGGAGGAATGTGAGCGCTGTGGGGGAGGAATGTGGGTGCTGTGGGGGAGGAATGTGGGTGCTGTGGGGGAGGAATGTGAGTGCTGTGGGGGAGGAATGTGAGTGCTGTGGGGGAGGAATGTGAGTGCTGTGGGGGAGGAATGTGAGCGCTGTGGGGGAGGAATGTGAGCGCTGTGGGGGAGGAATGTGAGCGCTGTGGGGGAGGAATGTGAGCGCTGTGGGGGAGGAATGTGGGCGCTGTGGGGGAGGAATGTGGGTGCTGTGGGGGAGGAATGTGGGCGCTGTGGGGGAGGAATGTGGGCGCTGTGGGGGAGGAATGTGGGCGCTGTGGGGGAGGAATGTGGGCGCTGTGGGGGAGGAATGTGAGCGCTGTGGGGGAGGAATGTGGGCGCTGTGGGGGAGGAATGTGGGCGCTGTGGGGGAGAAATATGAGCGCTGTGGGGGAGGAATGTGAGCGCTGTGGGGGAGGAATGTGGGCGCTGTGGGAGGAGAAATGTGAGCGCTGTGGGGGAGGAATGTGAGCGCTGTGGGGGAGGAATGTGGGCGCTGTGGGGGAGGAATATGAGCGCTGTGGGGGAGGAATGTGGGAGCTGTGGGGGAGGAATGTGGGCGCTGTGGGGAAGAAATGTGGGCGCTGTGTGGGGGAGGAATGTGAGCGCTGTGGGGGGAGAAATGTGGGCGCTGTGTGGGGGAGGAATGTGGGCGCTGTGGGGGAGAAATGTGGGCGCTGTGGGGGGAGGAATGTGGGCGCTGTGGGGGAGAAATGTGGGCGCTGTGGGGGGAGGAATGTGGGCGCTGTGGGGAAGAAATGTGGGCGCTGTGGGGGGAGAAATGTGGGCGCTGTGGAGGGAGAAATGTGGGCGCTGTGGGGGGAGGAATGTGGGCGCTGTGGGGGAGGAATGTGGGCGCTGTGGGGGGAGGAATGTGGGCGCTGTGGGGGAGAAATGTGGGCGCTGTGGGGGAGAAATGTGGGCGCTGTGGGGGAGAAATGTGGGCGCTGTGGGGGGAGGAATGTGGGCGCTGTGGGGAAGAAATGTGGGCGCTGTGGGGGGAGAAATGTGGGCGCTGTGGGGGAGAAATGTGGGCGCTGTGTGGGGGAGGAATGTGGGCGCTGTGGGGGAGAAATGTGGGCGCTGTGGGGGAGAAATGTGGGCGCTGTGGGGGGAGGAATGTGGGCGCTGTGGGGGAGAAATGTGGGCGCTGTGGGGGGAGGAATGTGGGCGCTGTGGGGGGAGGAATGTGGGCGCTGTGGGGGGAGGAATGTGGGCGCTGTGGGGAAGAAATGTGGGCGCTGTGGGGGGAGGAATGTGGGCGCTGTGGGGGAGAAATGTGGGCGCTGTGGGGGGAGGAATATGGGCGCTGTGGGGAAGAAATGTGGGCGCTGTGGGGGGAGAAATGTGGGCGCTGTGGGGGGAGAAATGTGGGCGCTGTGGGGGGAGGAATGTGGGCGCTGTGGGGGAGGAATGTGGGCGCTGTGGGGGGAGGAATGTGGGCGCTGTGGGGGAGAAATGTGGGCGCTGTGGGCGCTGTGGGGAAGAAATGTGGGCGCTGTGGGGGGAGAAATGTGGGCGCTGTGGGGGAGAAATGTGGGCGCTGTGGGGGGAGGAATGTGGGCGCTGTGGGGGGAGGAATGTGGGCGCTGTGGGGGGAGGAATGTGAGCGCTGTGGGGGAGAAATGTGGGCGCTGTGGGGGGGGGGAGAAATGTGGGCGCTGTGGGGGGGGGGGGAGAAATGTGGGCGCTGTGGGGGGGAGAAATGTGGGCGCTGTGTGGGGGAGGAATGTGGACGCTGTGGGGGGGAGGAATGTGGGCGCTGTGGGGGGGAGAAATGTGGGCGCTGTGGGGGGGAGGAATGTGGGCGCTGTGGGGGGGAGAAATGTGGGCGCTGTGGGGGGGGAGAAATGTGGGCGCTGTGGGGGGGAGGAATGTGGGCGCTGTGGGGAAGAAATGTGGGCGCTGTGGGGGGGGGGGAGAAATGTGGGCGCTGTGGGGAAGAAATGTGGGCGCTGTGGGGGGGGGGAGAAATGTGGGCGCTGTGGGGGGAGAAATGTGGGCGCTGTGGGGAAGAAATGTGGGCGCTGTGGGGGGGGGGAGAAATGTGGGCGCTGTGGTGGGAGAAATGTGGGCGCTGTGGGGGGAGAAATGTGGGCGCTGTGGGGGGAGGAATGTGGGCGCTGTGGGGAAGAAATGTGGGCGCTGTGGGGGGGGGGGAGAAATGTGGGCGCTGTGGGGGGAGAAATGTGGGCGCTGTGGTGGGAGAAATGTGGGCGCTGTGGTGGGAGAAATGTGAGCGCTGTGGGGGAGAAATGTGGGCGCTGTGGGGGGGAGAAATGTGGGCGCTGTGGTGGGAGAAATGTGGGCGCTGTTGGAGGAGAAATGTGGGCGCTGTGGGGGGAGAAATGTGGGCGCTGTGGGGGGAGAAATGTGGGCGCTGTGAGGAAAGGATTGTGAGCGCTCTGGGAGGAGAATATATTCGTTACCGTGGATGTATGGTTCTTGTTGGAGTGTAGAGAATACACTGTAGATCACTTAGGCAGTTTATTGAGTAAGGTAACAGTGTATAGTTATGGCCTGCTGAGGTCCTACCGGCTCTGGCCTTGTTGAGAATACTGACCTTGCCTCCAGAGCGGTCACTTCCAGCTCTGTAGGGAATGTCGTCATGCAGAGACCTACTCGATTGTGATTGGCTATATCCCAACCATCATACAATTTGAGTACTAACACTGCTCGGGCACGCTACCAAGTCGACGTCCCTTGTCGACAAGCTCTGGCTAGCTAGATAGTTATAATGATATTGTAAAGGACCTCGGTGTCGTTCAGTAATGGGTTACATGTGAAATTGAATAATAAACATTAAAGGAAGATCAGGTGTGTGGAACACTAACACCGTTCAGCATGTGTACAAAAAATTAGAACATACAGTAGGTGAAAAATCATGGTGACAATGCTTGAATATAACAAGAGCATGAAGAACATATACATGTCTAGGTGTCAGTTATGAACAATACAATTCAAGATGATGCCTAAAACAAAATTAACATGTGTTAATGGCATGTGCTCAGAAAAATAATTAAAGACAATTATCTGCTTTAATAGAACAAAAGTCCTGACCCAACAACCACAAAGGAGTTTTAAGACTAGATAATGGAGAAATTGTTTTATGTACAATATATTTACAAGCTATATACAAGGACTGGATCGAGAAGCCTAACTTAGTGATAGCAGTCGGGGATCACTGGTCTCAGTGTGGTTCCTAGAACATTAATGGAACTCATGATGACGTGCATTGTAAAACACAAATGGCACAGTAGACTTAACAATGGCACCTGATTTATGACACAAAATAAATTTGAAAAACTTCTTTATTATGCATATATATAATGGTAATAATATGACACATGGGGTAGAAATACTGTGAAGTGAATTTTGTCAAACAAAAACAGAATAACTGCAGAATGCACTTAATTATAGATTCTGTGGATATCTAGACCTAGATCATCCAGAGCACTATACAACTCTGGCTCTCAATGAAGGTCAGGAACAGATGAAACTGCGTGTGACAAACTTTCAGCTTGAGAGGTAAACTCGATGATATCTAGCCAATGGACATGTGGTGAGTAAACGGTTGAAGTGAAAGGCCTAGATCTAAGAATATAGGTGCTAGAATAGAATATAGGTGCTAAGAATATGGGTGGCTGTACATCAAGTGGTCTGTCAACCACAAAAGGTGGTGTCCCAATAGAAAAATCCATCTGGGTAGGTTCATTGTCATCTTCCTCATCAGGCTCGCCAACAATCATTTTAGTTAGCTTCATGTTGTCTAAATGTTCATTTATATACTCTCCTGTTAACAAATTCTTAAGTCTGCTGTACTTGTTACCCTTAATAAGTTCGATTACCTTGTATAAATCCAAAAATCTCTTAGTTTGTACTTAGGGCCAGACCTGTGTTGGTGAAGTACCATTACTATAGATCCTACAGTTCTGCCCGAAACGCTTTGCGTAATAGTGGCTTTAGGCATTGTATGTACTAGCTCTATCTATAAAGCCAACAAACTTTGTAAAATCTCTTTATGTATGTACCTTTGCCTAAATAAAAATTATTATTATTATTATTATTAACTTACTGGGCTCAGCTTGTGCATTCCTTGCTCGAGTGAACTCGGCTGTTGCCTTGGACAGTTGTTCTTGTATTGCCTTGAAAACTAGTTGCATTTGTCTATGCTTGACTTGAACAAAATAATGTTATACAGAAGAGTAGAGGATATGTTAGTCAATTCATTAGGGAGGATCTTATCTGTACCATAAAGAATAGCGTGAGGTGTGTCACCTGTAGAAACATTAATTGAAGAATTTATGGAACTCTGAATTAAGGGTATGAACTCATCCCAATTACTGTTATCAAAATTCAACGTGAGACTCAAGGCATCTAACACTTTCCTGTTAGTACGCTCTGCTAACCCATTACTTGCTGGGTGATATGGCATAATACTACATTTGTTAATGTTATATAAATCACACAAACTAGTTAAAAACTATTACTGAATTCTGGATCATAATCTGAAAGGATTACTTTAGGCATACTATATCTACAAATTATTTGGTCATGGAATGCACTGGCTATAGTTTCTGCTGTTTTGTTCGGGATAGGAACTAGTTCGCAATACCGTGAAAAATTATCAACCATTATAAGTGTTTATTCCCTTTTTCGGTTTCTGCAAAATTTGTCAACAAATCCATCTATACTCATTCCCAAGGTGCTTTAGTTGCTGGGTACACCTGGATTGGATTAGGTCCTGCTGTATTTCCCTTGTTCTGTAAGCAGGTCAAACATCTGTCAACATAATGAGCAATCTCCTTAGCCATTTTTGGCCAAAAATACTTTAATCCACCTTGCTGGAGTGTACGATCCTTACCTGCATGTGCACAATCCTTACCTGGATGTGCACTTGTGAGAACATCATGGATAATTTTTAACATGGTTGGTACTAAGACAGCTGGAACAACTAACTGACAACATTTCCTCGGGGCTGTCTCTAACTTTACTACTCTACACAGCAAATTGTCTAAAATCACTAACTCTTTCAATGGTACTGGAGGTTTGTGAATCGGGCGAGTATCTTGCTTAGTTGAAAACGTAATGATTGGTGCCCATATGGGGTCTCGACTACTGTAGCGTCTAATGCTGGGTAATTTAACTGAAACGCAGCTACGTGTCGCAAAAATGCATCAGCTACAATATTTTGTTTTCCTGGAATATAACCAAATGTGGGATTGAACTCTTGAATAGTGAGCAAATATCTAGCAAACTTTCCAATTGTATTTTTATTCTTGAACAAAGGAATTAATGGTTGGTGATCTGTAAGAACATGAACTGGGTAATTATAAATTGTATCCCTGAAATGTTTAAGAGCCTATACAACTGCTAAAGCTTCACGTTCTGTTGCATTGTAATTTTTCTCTTCCTTAGATAATGTACAGCTCATATAAGCTATTGCGTGATCTCTGTGACCTTCTGTTTGAAGTAATGTAGCACCTAAGCCAATGTCACTAGCATCTGTAACCAACATAATGTAATGTAAAAATGTAACCAACATAAAAGATTTAGAAAAATCTGGGTACCTAAGAACAAATGACGAGATCAATGCCTCCTTGAGTTTTTTGAGTGACTGTTCCTGGGCCTCTTCCCAAACAAAGGGTTCATCTTTTGTTTGCAACTTGTAAAGTGGAGCGGCTATAATAGAGAATCCAGCAATAAAATCCTACAAGACCCATGAACTGACTTACGGCTTCTGCGGTACGAGGCGTTGGAAAATCTCGGGCAGCAATAATTTTTTATTCATTCAATGTAACGCCTGAAGGTGTAACTGTATGACCTAGGAAATTAAACATCTCCTTTAAAAATTAACACTTTGCAAGTTTTATTTTTAAATTAGCTTCTGCAAACTTTGCAAGTACTTTCTCAAGGTTTTGGAAATGAGTCTGATCGAACATCTTGCGACATGATTATGAGATAATCAAGGTAAACTAGAAAAGTACTTCCTATCAGTCTACGAAATAGATTCATTATGAGCCGGGAAAAGGTTATTGGACTACTCTGGCTTAGGTGTCGAGTTTGGGATGTTTGGGATATTTTATAACTGCAGGGGGGTTTGGGCAAAATGTGACACTCCGCCACTATTAGTAATTGGCATATTTTCGGTTTAAAAAGTCGGAATTTCAAACTGCGAATACGTGTAGAGAGCCAGAATTTGGCTCCAAAATATGGCTCAGGAATCGAATTTGGGTTGTTTTGGATATTTTGAAAACTGCAGGGGAAATTTGGGCAAAATGTGACCCTCCGCCGCTTTCAGTAATTGGCATATTTTCGGTTTAAAAAGTCGGAATTTCAAACTCCGAATACGTGCAGAGAGCCAGAATTTGGCTCTAAAATATGGCTCATGTATCAAATTTGCGATGTTTGGGATATTTTGAAAACTGCAGGGGGGGGGGGTTTGGCCAAAATGTGACCCACCGCCGCTTTCAGTAATTGGCATATTTTCGGATTAAAAAGTCGGAATTTCAAACTGCGAATACGTGCAGGGAGCCAGAATTTGGCTCCAAAATATGGCCCAGGTATCGAGTTTGGGATGTTTGGGATATTTTGAAAGCTGCAGGGGGGTTTGGGTAAAATGTGACCCACCGCTGTTTTCAAAAATTGGCATATTTTCGGTTTAAAAAGTCGGAATTTCAAACTGCGAATAAGTGCAGAGACCCAGAATTTGGCTTCAAAATATGGCTCAAGAATCGAATTTGAGATATTTGGGATATTATGAAAACTGCAGGGGGGGGGTGGGGGTTGCGCAAAATGTGACCCAATGCCACTTACAGTAATTGGCATATTTTCAGTATAAAAATTCGGAATTTCAAACTGCGAATATATGCAGAGAGCCACAATTTGACTCCAAAATAACGGTCAGGTGTCGAATTTGGGATATTTTATAAACTGCAGGGGGGTTTGGGCAAAATGTGACCCACCGCCGCTTTCAGTAATTGGCATATTTTCTGTATAAAAAGTCGGAATTTCAAACTGCGAATACGTGCAGAGAACCAGAATTTGGCTCCAAAGTATGGCTCAGGTGTCGAATTTGGGATGTTTAGGATATTTTGAAAACTGCAGGGGGGTTTTGGCAAAATGTGACCCACCGCCGCTTTCAGTAATTGGCATATTTTCCGTATAAAAAGTCGGAATTTCAAACTGCGAATACGTGCAGAGAGCCAGAATTTAACTCCAAAATAAGGCTCAGGTGTCGAATTTGGGATGTTTAGGGATATTTTGAAAACTGTAAGGGGGTTTGGGCAAAATGTGACCCACCGCCGTTTTCAGTAATTGGCATATTTTTGGTATAAATAGTCGGTATTTCAAACTGAGAATACGTGCAGAGAGCCAGAATTTGGCTCCAAAATAAGGCTCAGGTGTCGAATTTTGGATGTTTGGGATTATTTGGAGAGTACGGGAGTAAGGGAGAGAGTGGGGGAGTATGGGTGAGAGTGGGGGAGAGTATGGGAAAGTGGGGGAGAATGAGGGAGAGTGGGGGAAATATGGGGGAGAATGGGGGTGTATGGATGCGAATGGGGGAGAGTGAGGGAGAATGGAGGAGAGTGGGGGCGTATGGCGGAGAGTGGGAGAGAATGGGGAAAGTGGGGGAGTATGTTGGAGAGTGGGAGAGTATGGAGGAGAGTGGGGGAGAGTGGGGGAGAATGGTGGAGAGTGGGGGAGAATGGTGGAGAGTGGGGGAGAATGGTGGAGAGTGGGGGAGAATGGGGGAGAGTGGGGGAGAATGAGGGAGAGTGGGGGAGTATGGGGGAGAGTAGGAGAGTGGGGGAGAATGGGGGAGAGCGGTGGAGAGTGGGGGAGTATGGGGGAGATTGGGGGAGTATGGGGAGAGTGGGGGAGAATAGGGGAGAGTGTGGGAGTATGGGGAGAATGGGGGAGAGTGTGGGAGTATGGGGAGAATGGGGGAGAGTGTGGGAGTATGGGGAGAATGGGGGAGAGTGTGGGAGTATGGGGAGAGTGGGGGAGTATAAGAGAGAGTGGGGGAGTATGGGAGAGAGTGATGGAGTATGGGTGAGAGGGGGGAGAGGGGGGGACGGTGG